CAGAGACTCGGTCTAATGTTATACGACTAGCAAATCAAGTACACGGTGAAAGCGTAAAAATACTAATAATTACGAGGGGGAGGGGGGTTTGGATTTGATTAATTACTCTAAAAATGCGATAAAATATAAACTAAAACAATTGATTAAAATCCCAACATCGATTTAATACCGGTTAAGATGTTAGTGCCTATCATCGATTCCAAAAATGTAAACGGAAAGGACAAGCCCGAATTGGCTTTAATCGTTAACAAGCTCTAACGACCCGCATTTTCCATAGATAATTAGTGACTAAAATAAGCTCTCTAATCAACCCTTAACCACAAATACAAGTTTAAATAAGCTCTTAAACTCATAGGTGCGACTAGCTTTACCGGACTAGAAAAAATTACCAATTCAAAGCCATAAGCTCATAAGCTCGGCTTATCGAGGCTCTAATCGCAAGATTTCAAATATTCAATCCGGAAACCTTATCGAAACCAAATGAATACTATTGTTACTCTATCAAAACTCTAAGACAATTACGTATCTAAGCATCTTGAATAACCATTCCATAAAAGATTTCCAATCAGTTAGCTAGACTAATTGAAAACCCAAATGCGATAAACATTGAGTTCAGAAATCAAGCAAATAAGCTTGTTCAAACATGTTTACAATGAAATCTCAAGGCAATAACAATTCAAAACCTAATTAAACCAAATGTTGGAATGAAAAACTTAGCAAAACATAACTAGGTTACTGATTCTAAAGGTTTTAGGACTTACCGAAAGAATCAAGAAAGATTGATGAGAGAATTGTCGTCTTCCCCAATCGAACCTACTGCTGTCCGCTTCAATCTCGCATCCGTATTCTCCAAACGAACAGCCCCTCTTTTCTTCCTTTGCGTCCTTCCTTCTTCTCCAATCAACAGCCTGCTGTCTGCTTTGCTGTCCGCTTCCTCTCGAACAGCCTTTCCTGTCGACAGCTTCTCTCTTCTCCCGTCCCCTTCACCCTCGCGACTCTCTCTTCAACCCAACAGCCCTCAATCGACAGCCACCTGCTGTCCTCGCTCTCGATCCTTTTCGATTTCTGCCTCTAATCGACAGCCTTCGATTTTTCTTGCTGTCGGCCGCTTCCAAAAACGAACCAGCCCCAAAAACGAACAACCCCCTGGAACGGCTCTTTGCTTCCTCTTTTATCCACCGACTTTTCTCCCTCGATCCCTCTCTGCCCACGTCTTCCGTCTCGCTGCCCACGTCTTCCATCTCGCTGCCGATTTCTCTCGATCTCTTGCTGCCTCTCCAGAAACTGCTTCTGCTGCTGTTGGACTGCTATTGTTGCTGGGCTGCTGGACTGTGGGCCTTGATGAAGTCCACAAAAAATGTTTCTTTTTGGGCTAGACTTCTACAAACAAACAAAAAGATAATATAGATTAAATAAACACATTATTTTCTCATAATGATGAAAATAAAAGGCTTTTTAACCTTAATTTTAAACCAAGAAAATATAGCTATCAGTTTGTGCAAACATGTTCATGATTTTGATAAATTACATGAAATCACACATATTTGTTGAAGATTGTATCCATAATATTTAAGAATGTGAAATCAATAATTTTTTTCTGCAAAAAATTCATCCTGGAGATTGATAATGTAATGAAAAACAATGGTAAAAATTCTATTGATTCTTCAATTCATGTCAATTTGATGAAGATAGTGTATATGYCAATTCTCATGAAGTAAATGTAGATGTTATGGAGGTTGTGGTATCATGTGGTACATTTTCATTCCCCAAAGGTTGTGGACACATGTGGTACCTAAAACATTCATGGATACCACAGTGATTAATGTGTCT